AAACTCCATTCAAGTGTACACACAAAATTCTGTCTAAGCCCTGCGACATCAGTACAGTAATGCAAGCTTGTCTGGGGGGGGGGGGGGGGGGGGGGGGATTCTGGATTTTCATCTTCTTTGATGCATCTGTGCACCGTAGTCCTAGGTAATCTTAAGGCATGTATTGTCCTTTTTGGTAGAAAAGAGGAGATGGCCTTGATCAGCTTCTTTGGAGAATAGTACAGTAGTTTGAGAGCAACATTTTTGGGGAGTTTGTAAATTAATTAATCTAACCATGGTGAGTGATGAAAAATGCGATAGCAAATTGAAACGCCCGCAATTCCAAAAGCTGTAAATATATGAGAGAAATGTTACTCATTGTATATATCACAATCAGTCAATGTAAATAAACACACCGTCACCCACTACCTGCTGGACTGACAACAGCTAAAGCCCATTAAAAGGGTGTGCCCGTCTTGAGACCATCTGAACACGGTCTCAAGATGATCTCAAGATGATCTTGAGATCACACAAGACTAAAATCCGGACTGCACAGTTAACAATCCCAAGCAACTGTGAGATCGCTGAATTCAGAACGATCCTGAAAAGTATCTGTCGAATTGCAGATCGTGGTGCTCGACGCAAAAAAATAAAAGGATGCCAAAGTCAAAATTTTGCAAATCTGACTTCAAAATCTTTCATCAGCGTCAAGTTCTAGCGGCATTTGATACTAAGCACTGCTATCTAACGTTTGATGAAGTAATGCTAATAAATTATTCTTTGCGTGAGCCAGCTGGCTTGAGAGATCTAGACTACATCTTGCGAGGTGATTATGGAAAATAAATCTAAAGACTATTGCAATCGAATTCTAAGACAGTGCGCATACAACAATTTAGTTGAATATGTGCACATTTTTACAAGAATGTTTGTCAGAATAGCCTATAATCTTAAGATGTGCGTTTAAAAAGGGAGTATAATAACGTTCAACGCAGAAAAGGTTTGGAACTCAAGACATTTACACACCAAAAGACTAAGGTATTATTAAGAGCGTTTGTTCCTCAGAGACGAGGACTCGTCCATACGTAAATAAGTTTTATTGTCCGTAGAGTACAATGCCAGCTGCGTGTAAGTGAATTTCTC